TACAGGAAGCTGTGCTTTGCTGTTACTCAAATCATCCACTGTCCCTTTCTTTATCCAGACACCCAGTGCTGAGAGTCTTAACCAGTACACTCTCTTTTCTCTCCATTTTTCTTTCTCCTATCATCCTGACCTGTTCTTCTGAAACTACCTGCTTCTACTCTGTGCCCTACAATCCATTCTCTACATCACAGTCAAAGTAATTTGTAAAATTTGTCTATCAGATCCTGGCACTTACTTGCTGTAAGTCTTCTGAAGTATTGCCTTGCACTTAGAATTGAATTCTCAGCTTCCATGGGGAGCAAGGGGCAGTGTGAATGTGCCCTCTGCTGCCCCTTGTCCTAGCCAGTTTCCTCTGACATTTGTGCCTCCCAGCACTCACTTTCTGGATTTGGATGGGCCTTTGAGCGGTCAACTCATACCCAGATGCATCTTCCTCCAAGGCTTTCTCTCACTGCTCAGTTTATCATTTTTCCCATTCTATCAAATCACATCAAATGTTGCAGTTGGCTGTTTCTTTTTAAACTTAAAAACAATGCCCAATCCAAATATTTGTATTTACCACTATTTTCTTAGGTTTTTTTCTCACCTCAGTGCTTCCCACAGACCTTTGTAGAAAAGCAAAGGAGAAAGTTGGTTTTCTCATAGATCTCACCTTAACTTCCCTAGAGCACTGACCACTATATTCTTGGAATATGATACAGAGTTATGTGATAACTAATCCTCACAGAATTAAGTGAATAAGTTAATGCATAAAGAATTAAAAACAGTGTTAAAAGCATTTCTTCAACACCTAAACCTGAGTTTCTCCTGCAGAGTCAGGGTGATCTGTCAAGGAAGGCTTCCTGGCACTCCGCAGGTAAAAGTGCAGGAGCCACAGAGCTGGTTAGACCTCCCCCAGGGAGCTTCTGACTTGCTGTGGCCAGCAGTCAGCTCTGGCAGCTGGGACAATTGTTTAAGTTCTGAACAGAGAACTCCCTTCTAAGGTCTGTTCTCTTGTTGGGCTTCTCTGGGACTGTCTCTCTGGGACTGTCCTCTTGGCAACTGACCTCTCTGCAACTATCTTCTCTGTGCACCTTTGTTCCATTCCTCTCCCAGGATACAACACTTAACAGTTCCATTGTCAGCCACAATCTCCACAGAAGTGGAACTGTTAGGGGTATGCATACATCTCATTTAAGCCAGTTTAGCCAAATGTGATTAGATTACACAGATATTATCCCTGGATAGATCCTTACTTTTTACCCAGCTCCTCTGGGCCATTCTGTCTTTTCTACACTGCAGCTACTACTTTCCAGCTCTAAGTGGCTTGAGCCACCTGAATTCTGACCTGGGAGTCCCCAGACTTCTGTATAGCTGTTCTTCTGAGCTTCTCTCCTCCTCTTTTCCTCCCACCTACCTCTGGCAAGGATCCTGATGCGCAAGTCTTCATGATTATTTATCTCCACCTAACTGATGGCTTCTTCACTTTGAATACTGCAGCCTGCGATCTGCATTCAGCTTTACTTTTTTCTGGTACAGATTTGTCTTCATAACAAGACTTCTGCAGATGAGTTGAAGTTTGACTTTGTATAGAAGGCATTTATATCCTTTCAGTCACCTTTTTTTCATGGCAAAAATTGTTATCAATACAAATGCTGGCTATGCTATATGACCACACTGCATGATTTTGAAGTTTTCCAATATGCCAAATCCTTTGGTGATAGGTTGCATACATTATTACATTAATTTCCCTCATATTAATCATTTTTGAAATTAGGTTTTGCATTTTTATGATGCTTTCATATGTAGTAGAACTGTGAAATCCCAGAGAAGCTGTCCATTCCAAGACTACCATATTCACAGTGAGAGTAAACTCCTGTGACCATGCCTTTCAAACTGCAAACCAGCTGGGTGTGGTAGCACATGTCTGTAATTCCAGCACGTGGGAGCCTGAAGCAGGAGGATCACTGTGTGTTTGAGGCCAGCCCGTGCTATATGCTGAACTCAAGACCAGGCTGAACTATGTAGCAAGACCCAATCTCTCTCTCTCTCTCTCTCTCTCTCTCTCTCTCTCTCTCTCTCTCTGTCTCTGTCTCTCTGTCTCTCTCTCTCTTTCTCACACACACACACACACACACACACACACACACACCAAAAAAACAAAAAAAGAAAAAAAAACACAAAACTGCAAACCAGTCAGTCCAAATCCTGATCCCTGAAAACTGTCTGTATCTAATTCTCACACCTGAGGCAGTATTTCTCCTACCCTGTTATAGTTTGGATTTGAAATACCATAACTTGAGTGTGAAGAGCTTGGACTCTCGGGAAGGCATTGGATCCCAAGAGCTTTAACTTCACCAAGGGGACCAATCCATGGGTGAGATCCTACCAGGAAGTGAAGCAAACAGGAGGTAGGGCTCATTGAAACAAATAGGTCATGGAAGGCTGACCGTGGGGACCATGTCTAGTGTCTGTCCTTTCCTCTTTGGCTCCTCACTTTCCCTTATGCCCACCCTCCATGATGTGCCTTGGCATGGGCCGGAAAGTACTGGACCATCCAACCCTGGGCTGACACCTCTGACATTATTAGCCAGAATAAATCTTTCCTTCAACATATTCTCCTCAGCTTTTTTGTCACAAGCACAAAAAGATGACAAACATACAGTAAGTCACCCCACATTCAGACTAGAGATCATCTTGATATCCCAAGACCTGTCCAAACTATTTCAATTATACTGCTTTAAAGTGGACGAAATTGGTCTTCCCTTCCTGGCTTCGTCCTGCCCATGGGGGCACCATAGAGTCTCCAAAGTGATTTCTCCTTGGTCTTTTTGCCTCCTGACTGATGTTGGCACCTCCCTGTGTAACTTGACATGGCAAAAGTGGCGCAAGCCTCCTCTGGGAACTCTTGGTCAGAGTAGTTCACTGAAAATTACTGATGTGAGGTAGTCAGTACTGCGCACTGTGAACCTCAGCTCTTTTTCCAATATCAATTTGTTGTAGCCTTCTATTCTAGAAATGGGCATTCTAGCCCATGACAGTGCCTTATCGATGAGCAGAGTCTCCTCCAAACTGCCCACTAACGCAGACTAATATACAGATCCATCTGTCAGTTTTCTCTCTGATTTATTAGTCCTTGAATTCAAAGCATTCACTTTCAGATACTGAACCAGGAGCCAGGGAAAGAACAGACACAGGCTTGTTCTTTAGGCTTCTGGCTATCTTTAGTTGGCAGGAGACGGCTGGGCCAAAAATGAGATGTATGGTTTATTTCTTCTCAAGAATAGAACCTGCATTATTGGGAAAGCTCATTCAGCCTATCTCTGCCTCCTTCTTCCCTAGCCTCAGCCTGTCTGAACCTCAGGGGCTCTTTTTCCTTTCTTTAGCTTGCCAATAATTCTTCCTATGTCCAGCCTCCTCTCATGTGCTGATGGAGCAACCACGCTCTCTCCTTTTCTGGGACTTAACAGGATCCACAGCGAAGAGCAGAGCTGGGTCCCCACAGCAAAGCAGCAGCAATGTGTGACCTGCGCTGCTCCCTTAGCAGACTGCACTACTGCCACCCACTAGTGTTCAGGATGTTTGCTCCGAAGCTGAAGAGCATCGTGCATAGACACAGCCTCCGGCTCTTAGCTTTATACAGGGTGAAGTACGAAAAGGAGCTGCTGACTCCAGTCCAGGTCAACACAGGGTGGAGAAGCTTATGCACAATGTGAACATAGAAAAATTGAGGTGCACTTAACACGTGCCACTGAAAGCTGGTGAGTGATCCTCAAATTCGTTTTTTCCCCATTTTGAAGATGTGGTCTTGCTATGTAGTCCAACTTGCCCTTGAATTTGCACTGGTCCTCCTGCCTTAGCCTCCTGAGTGCTGGGATTACAGGTGTGCACCAGCACGCCTAGCTTAGCCTCAGCTTCTGGCAACCCCCGGCCTCTCTGCATGCTTGCGCCCTTCAACCTTGTAGCCCAGGAGCTCAGGGATGACTGCTGTACTGTAGTCCTGCCTAAACTCTGTCTGTTCCTTGGAAATGGGGTAATGCATGAAGTTGCTGACGCAGCTAGTTGTAAATATGCACTTTCCCTAACATGCTCTAATTAACATTTTAAAGCCTAAAATACGTATGTGAAGTCATCATCCTACAGTGAGGACAGGGGCAGTGTCTGTCTGTGCTCAGTTTGCCTCAGCAGATAGAGCAGGTAGTACCTCTTCACATCCGTCAGCACGAAAGTAATAAACGCGAAGAGCTTAATGCGTATTTTTGAATTACATTTCATTTTGCCAATTGTGCACAGCCCAGTCTAATTTAACAAAAAGGTCTGAGAAAGAATACAGTAGAGCCGATGCACATAGCAACCATTAAACTAGGATACCAGGATGAGAGCCACGAAGTGAGAGGTGCTTTTTGCTAGGCAGAGTAGCAACAAGAATGAGGGCCCAAGGAAAGCCAGAGAGCTCTGGCTGGAGCTGCAGGGAGTGAATCAGGGCCCAGGGAGACTGGCCCGCAACACTTCCTGCAGTCCCTGGCCACAGGGAACCCTGTCAGGGTCCTTCCTGTGATCATAACGCCAGAGGCAGATTGTATGGAGACCAGTTCCACCACTATTTAGGATCTCCATGTGTTTTCCCCGCCTTTGCTTCTGATTGCAGTGAGAAGCATGAGTAAGGAGGGCTGTTTTGCACCTTGTGCTCTAAGAAGAAACTCAGATTTGCTAGTTGCAGGAGCAGGGGAGCCAGGGTCTCCAGGTCAGTCAGAAGAGCATCAAGCACATTCCATCTTCCTGTGTGGGCCCAGGGGACCTCAGTGGCCTAGGCGTGGATCCTGAGGCACGGTGGCAGGACCCTAGGTGGTTTTAGGGTGGGACAGCAGTTCAGTCCTCAGGGCAGGGTTTGGCAACGGAGAGGGAAGGTGCTGGTGTCAGCTTTCCATTTGCTGCTTTCCCCTGCACCCCCTCCTGAGAGTCCTCCCTCCAGCTCCCCACCCCCATCTAGGTAACGGGAGCCTCCGAGTGGAGCGCACCACTCTGAGCTTGCCTGGGTATCCGGAGAGCTTGGAACCCTTGTGGGCGATCATCTTGGGCCCGGCGAGGCGGGGGTTAAGGTGCACGCAGCGCCCCGCGCCCGCACCCCGGGATGAGCCTGCAGTCGGCGCCCGCGCGCTCCAGTTGGCACCGGGAGAAAGTGGCGGTCAGGGATGGAGCCGCTGCCATGACAACCCCGGCGGTCGGGGCCCGCGCGCGTCGGGGCTGCTCCCGGGAGGAAGGCGGCGCGGAGGCCGGGGGCGGCCGCTGAGCAGAGCGTGGCGTCCGCGCGTGCCCGCGTCCCGGAGGAGGCGGGGGCTCCGCAGCGCCCAGTGCCCCCTGAGCTGCGCCGGGCGGCGCCCAGCGGGCTGGAGGACGCAGCGGCGGCGGGACCCGCGCGCGCAACTTTTTGTCGCCTTTGGGTTGCAGATGCGAGACTTGGGGCTGGTTTATAAATACATCCGTACATGTGTGTGAGCTAATAAAACATTTTCTCTTCTCCTCGAAGCGGGAGCTTTCTCTGACGGCTCCTTGATGTCAGCCACTTGCCGCCTTCTCTGGGTTATAAACTTTTGATGCCAGACCTCTGCAGAACGTGCCCAACTGCGTCGTAAAGTAGCGTCTGGGAGAGAGGCGGAGAGCGCGCAGTCTGTGACCTTCATCCCGGCACCTTCCTCCTCCTCTCCCTCCCCCTTCCCAGGGGAGCAGCGAGAAGGCGCTTCCCGGACGCAGGAGGGGGCATCTGGCGCTGCCGGGCTGGACCCTGAGGCAGGACCGGGAAGAACCGCCGGCTCCGGAGAGCCTGGACGTCCGCTCTCCGGGCTGCGCCGCGCGCTCTTCCCGCCCTCGCCACGCCACTTCGCAGACCGGCTGTGTGCGGGGTGGGGGACCGGACCTGCGCACCCCGAGTTCTGGGAAGTTGCGGCTGTCGAGGATGGGGATCTGTGGGCACCTGTTCCTGCCCTGGAAGTGCCTCGTGGTCGTGTCTCTCAGGCTGCTGTTCCTTGTACCCACAGGAGTGCCCGTGCGGAGCGGAGATGCCACCTTCCCCAAAGCGATGGACAATGTGACAGTCCGGCAGGGGGAGAGCGCCACCCTCAGGTAGGGAGCCAGCAAGCTGCGGGGCACTGAGCCCCTCAGACATGGTTTCCAGGGGTGGGGGCCAGGGAGCAAGGGGGAGCGAGTCTCACTGAGGCGTGTGGGCTGGCTGGCTGCGCATGGGCAAGGGCCTTCTGCAGGCCGAAGAGGTGACCGCTTGCGTCCGGTGGTTGCAGATGCCTGTTTACTTGGACAGCTTTGTCTTTGGTGTGCATTGCGTGACCTGCACTTGTATCATGAGCTTTGAAGCCCATGTTTGGGTCTCCATGTGTTTGCGGGGCCCTGGCAAGGTTCGATTCCCTCTTGCTTGTGCGCATGATGAGGACAGCAGAGGTCCTGGATTGGAGCTATGACCCTGGGTGCTGTCTCCCAGGCCAGAGTTATGTGAAAGGCCTCTGTGGTGCTCAGGAGGGCTAGGCTTGCGCCTTTCAGAGGGGGACCCAACAACATGAGGCTCTGGAGTTAAGGGGCCAGGCCTATGAGTGTGCTGAAGACGCATCCGCTGGGGCCAAGCTCGTGTGGTGCGCCGGGGGCTCTTGCTGTAAATTGTAAGAGCCGTTTTATTTTTGCAGGCTGGGGCCAAAAAGAGGAAGCATGTAGCTTTTATGCAACACCATTGCTCCCGTGTGAACAGCACAATAGGGAAGCGTTTTGTTTTACCTTAATGAGTTACAGAGAGTGACTTTCCAGCTGGAGGCAGAGGGTGAGATTCTTGGAATATGCACCTTTGGGGACTGGGCCTGCTGCAGCAGAGACTTTAATAAAAATGCAGCCACCACTTTTCACCAGCTCAGCAGATATCATCTTTTATCCCTTTAATGAGGCAGTTCTGGTCCTAGGAGACAGATTCAGGGACGTCCCAGCTAACTGTGGCTCACAGTGTACACGGGGTGAATGTGTTTGCCCTGCCTATGACTTTGATGGTTATGGTGAAAATAAAACATTGTGACCCAGATTCTGCAGCCAAAATGCTTGGCTTCTGCAAGGGAAGAGTGAGGGCGGGGTTTCCTTCCTGCTCTTTCCTGGTGGGATTTCCCTTGCAAGGAGATCAGACTCTCCTGGGAGAAGGAATGGAGGTCTTTGGATACTTATATTCACTTCCTGAACCCTGTGGTTAAGTGTGGATTTTTGCTACTTTAGGTGGTTCTCAGCTGAATCTTTTCTTGAGCTCAGATTCCTCTTTGTTTCTGTTTGTAGGCTGTAGGAGGAGAAAGGAAACAGAGATGTCCCTTACACGTTGCACAGGGGACATGCCCTTTTGCCCCTATGTGCATCCCTTAGCCTGTCCCAGACAAGAGTACACTATCCCTGCTTCACTGTTTCAGGAAGTTTCTGAGCCTGCCCTGGGGAAGTGATTTTGCGGGACACATCTTTGAGACTATTCAAAGGCAGAGGAGTACAGAGCGTCCATGCACATCAACCGTGGACCCAGGAGCAGACGTTAGCACTGTGAGGAGGGTAGTCAAGGAGACATAGCTGTCTACCTTCTCGCCTCTCCAGGTAGACACCAGGTTCAGTATTGGGGAGAGTCTCTGTGCTGAACTTTCCAAAACCCTCTCTCCCCTGCCTGCCCCTCTGAATGAACCCAGAAACTTAAAAACTTGAGCTTTCTGCTTCCTGGGATGTATTAAGCGACTCTGCCAGCAGAGGGCCAGCTTTGATTTCCCATTTTTTATTAGCTGCTGGCCTGTTTTCATGATCTTCAATTCTAATGTTTAGCAGCTGGGCTTGGTAATGGGGATGGGAATAAAAAAGGAAAAGCTGCAGAGTTGCTTTTTGTGCTTTGTGGAAAACAAACGACAGCTTACGTGGTCAAGAAGAACCGTTATCTTCTGGTACCTGATTACAGGATACATTTTTTTTTTTTTTTCTTAAAGTAAGCACAGATCTTGCATTGACTTTGTCTGTCTTCAGTGCTTTTCTTTTTAACTACTGGCCTACAGGAATGAAGTACAGTATTTCACACCTAAACAATTTTATATTGCATAAGCCTCTCTTTTATTACTTCCTTTGTTTCTAGCAGATTCCTCCAGCTGACACGCTTTTGTTTATTATTATTCTCCTCCTTTCTTGCTTTCACCACTTGATGCTTATTGTTCCCTGAATTTTTAAAGGTTTTTATTTCACTGCTATAATCGTGTTTCTGAAAAGAACATCAACATCGCTTGCAAATTTCTGTGGGTCTCAGTCTCTTTCCTTCTGTTTTCTTTATGGGCTAACATTTGTGTTCTCATCTTAACAAAAAAATTTGTCAGTACTTTGGGGAAGAGGCCATGCTTCTAGTTACTGGAACCCCGTGCCTTCGACCCTATGGAAATGTACCTTGTTTTATTTGATCCTGAATTTTGGTTTTAATTAATTAGAATTCTTTTTGTTTTATTTATGTATTTTTGATTTGCTAGACTCTAACCCAGGGCCTCGTTGATGTTAAGCAAGTGCTCTATCACTGAGCTACACAACCAGTTCTGTAATTCTTCAGTGTAGTCACTCCTTGCATTCCCTATCAGTGTTTTCTGAGAATTCATTGCTTGGAAATGTAGTTCTAAATACATCAAATATGCAGAATGCATAAAACTTCACAAGATACCAGTGCTTCTGAGCTCAGAGAGCTTCTGCAAGTGCAAGTAACTGGATGAAATTATATCTCATCTATTTCTAAATCTTGAATGAAGTCAGATAAGGAGTGAAGACTTGGGAGGAAAAGCAAACAGATTGAAAAGCTTGGGTCCATCCTTTAGATTTTCCACAGCTTAAAGCAGAATCATTTCCTTCTTGTGGGATATCAGTTTTGTTGTGACAGATCTTTGATTGCAGCAGGGGACATTGGGAAGCGATGTTCCAACGGCAGCACTCAAGTTTGGAACGTGGGTGAAAACTCATTTTATATAAGTGAGGCAATATTATCTCCCTCATAACTACTTCATAGGCCTACTTGAAAAGTAAAAATAATTATTTGAATATTGAGTTATTTTGCCTTTTTGGAAGAGAGATGACATGGAAAATGAAGGTGCTATTCACTATGGTTGAATTATAGCTTCTATGAATCTGATTTGAATTCATTATTACAAATGGGCCCTCTTGGCCAGAATCATTTCATTACAATTATCTGCTGTTGGGTTAAAAATGTTCTGTGCCTTTCCATTAGATTGGATATGACAAGCATCTGGAAGTCCTGTGTCTGAACCGTGGATGAAAGAGGACTGCAGCCCATGATGGTGGGCATGGAGCTTTGGCCTCCATTTAACCACCCGGACTGCATGGATGCCCCCAGCTGTATCTGCTCCATTAGCCTCTGCCAACCTTGAATTTGGTTTAGTTTCTCTGTGGGGCTGTGCGGTGCACACATGCGGGCAGTATGAGGGGTACCATAGAGTACCTGTGTTTGCTGTGGTTGTTGCTATGACTCTTCCTCAGCAGGAAAGATTCCCACCGGCGGCTACTGGCTTGCTTTCCTGTTTTATTTATTTATTTATTTCCCCCCAACACCTTGATGGTCAGTTTGGCTGATCCAGGCTTGCTGATCTGGGGTTCTGCTTCATGGCTCATTTCTAAACTGTCTTCACACTTTGCTTTGGAGTTCTGAGCTAATCTGTTCAGAATCAAGTATGTGAGGCTTGACTGCTACCAAGGAATAGAAAGCACAGTGGGATTTTGCCGAAGGAAGCGGGGCAGTGGATTCCCCAAGAACAACCTTGGTGGTTCACTCAGGTGACTTTCTGCATTTGTACCCTCCACCAGAACACTTTCCTTTTGTATAAGTTAGGAAATTCAGAGCATCTTTTGGTTTATTCCCATGCATAGATTTTCGAGTTTTAGTCTTCAAGGTGCCAAAGCTGCATAAGGACTGTTGCAGTGTGAAAGTAGCACTCTTGGGCTGGACAGGTGAAGGCATAGAGGCAGGTGAGCAGGCTCAGGTCTACAAGGGGCTGCTCACATGGCAGTGCCAGTTTGGGTTGCTAGTCAGAGTCCTAGAATGGTTCTTAACATTCCGCTTGGGCTTGGGGATGCAGTTCAGTGGTAGAGGACATGCTTAGTTTTCTTAAGGTCCTGAGTTTAGTTTCCAGCACCTAAAGAAACAGGCACACTCCAAAAATAGATCACTAACACCAGCTGGCAGACAGAGGCAATCAACATCTCTGACGTTAGGCATGGATGTGGGCATTGAAAAGATTTCTTCCAGTATTCCTAATGTGAAGCGCGAGTTAAGAAGCATTGCTCTAAAGGTTTTCTGCCCTAAAATGCCTGAGCAAGGCTGGCATCCAGAGCCCTTTCTCTGTCTCTCCCTTGAAATGGCTGAAATGCTGACTCTGATTGTCAACTGCTTCAGAGGTGCCCAGGAGATTAGTAGAGTACATTTGTGTGTGTGTGTACAGTGGGTCATGGGACATGGGCTTGGGAAACAGATCGGGTCCTCAGCCCTGTCTTCCATGGCTCACTCTTGTCTTTCTGATTCCTCTGCTGTGAAGCCAGCAGCCTTCCTGCTCCTGGCCCCTCTACCACAGTGTTTTGCCTTGGAGCCTGTGGCTGGCGACTGAGACTTTTCACACTGTGAGCCCTGATAAACCTCTCTACCTCTGAATTCCAACAGTAACATCTCCTCCAGGTGTGCACACGCCTCTCCTTGGGGCTACTTCAGTGCTCTGAAATGCTCAGGGCCTGGATCATTCACTCTGCCTCTCATTCTACCTCACATTAACTACGTGAGTTTAGACACTTGAGTTCAGTAATGTATATACGAGAAAAATATCGACCTTCCCTGAGATAGCAAAAGACGTGAGGGGTACAGCATTGTTCTGTTAACTTAAAAACAACATATGAAATCATCCCTTTGAATCCACAAAATAGTAAAACCTGGTGATCTTCAAGTCATGTATATAAACTGGCAGATTACCTTCATATAATCCATGTGTATCCTTTGGTATACTTTAAAATCTTCCAATCCTCTTTTTTTGAAGTACTGCAAATTGAATCCAGGACCTTTGCACTGAGCTATGTTCCCCAAA